TCATCCCAGAGTGCAGGACATGCAATTGGGCTCAAGCTATAGGGAGCAGGACATGCAAAAATGGGCTCAAGCTATAGGGAGCCAGATCGAGGCTGAATATCAGGAAAAATGTCTTTAACTGTTACAGAAGTACAACAATGGAACCAATGATCATGGGAGGTGGTGAGGGCTCCAGCATTCAAGAAAAAAATTGGACAACCATGCATCAGATCTGCTTTGATTTGGATTCCTGCCTTGAGCAGGGAGTTGTACCCGACTTTGATTTGGATTCCTGCCTTGAGGAGGGAGTAGAACCCGATGGCCTTATACAGTGGGGTCTCTACTTAAGAACTTAATCCGTATTGGAAGGTGGTTCTCAAGTTGAAAAGTTCTTATGTTGAATCTGCATTTCCCATAGGAATGCATTGAAAACCATTTTATCCGTATCTGCTCTTTTCCATCCATAGAAACTACAGTAAACCCTTTCCAACTCAATGGTTCTATGATTTTATACCTGCAATCACAGCCCACCGTTTGCTCTTAATTTCTCTGAGACTGATGATTCAGGTGTATGAATCACACAAATAGTGGGGATGTTTGAGGGTGTCTCTTCGCCCCTTGGAATCCTACATATATTAATTATTTTACTGCACAAACAGGCACACTGTTCTATATTGGCACGCAGTATGCATTCACATTATGCTAACATACTAGTATGCAGCTTTCTCCTCTAGAAAAACCTATACAGATGCCCTTATTTCCACCCCCTATTTTATGTCTTCAGGTGGCCAGATTAAATTTAGAGGATGCTAGTAGATGATTCCTCCATTGGACACTCAGAAAAGAGAATAGTAGAGAGAGTTGTGGTGTCTTAGGAATAATTTACTTGCTTTCAGTATGCAGCTTTCTCCTCTAGAAAAACCTATGCAGATGCCCTCATTTCCACCCCCTATTTTATGTCTACAGGTGGCCAGATTAAATTTAGGGGATGTAGTAGTTGATTCCTCCATTGGACACTCAGAGAATAGTGGAGAGAGTTGTGGTGTCTTAGGAATAATTGCTTTCAAACACACAGTGGTGTACGAGGTAGGCTGTTTGGCAGCAAGCAAATAGTAGCCATGGGCAAGCTGCACAATCAAACAAGAAGGAAATGGTAAACCACTTCTGAGTATTCTGTAACTAGAAAACCCTAGAAAGGATCACTGTAGCTCAGAATGGACTTGACAGTAGATAAAAGCAAAATTGCATGCCATCAGCTTGTTTGCAGTTGATGGTGACGGGTGAATTAATAACTTTTAAATGCCCATCATTAACAGCCGTGCTCAGGTCTCGCAAAGTCAAGGCTGTGTGGTTCCTTTACTGAGTCAGTTCATCATAGGTTATGTCTTACTCTTTTCCTACTGCTTCCTACTTTTCTGAGCATGATTGCCTTTTCCAGGGATTCTTGTCGTCTCCTTAGACGCCCAAATTATGATAGTCTCAGTGTGATCATTTTAGCTCCTACTGAAAGTTTGGGCTTGAACCCTAGAATTCACTTATTTGTATGCCATGGCATCCAGAAAGCTGTCCTCCAGCATCACAATTCAAAAGATTCATTTTCTGTTCTTGTTGTTTAAATATCACCTTTGTTTATTGCCCAGTTTTGTCCTCCATACATCATAACTGGGAATACGTGTTATATGCTTATAGTGACCCTAGTACATTTCCCCTGATATGTAAGATATAGTACTGTACAAGGAATGGTTTTATCAGTGCTACCTCCCAGTGACTTTCCATGATCCAGCAAATATTTGCAGCCAAGCCTCCTGAGTCCCACTCCAACACTCTGTCCATGAAACTGGCTTTTTTTTGCAAGATAGCTCCTGAGTCCCACTCCAACACTCTGTCCACGAAACTGGCTTTTTTTTTTTTTGTACGATAGAAGTACCATCATCCACAGGATTTTGATCTTCCCAGTAGGTCTGGGGTTGTCACACTATCATCCACAGGATTTTGATCGTGGTCTCCAATGACACTGCCTTACAATTCAGAATCTTTTCTAGTTTCTTCATTGTGGCCTGCCCAGGTCACTTTCTTCTGATTTCTTAGCAATAATATTGATTTGGGCTGATAAAACGAGCAAGGAAAATAAAGCCTGTTCTTACAGTCTCTAGTGGTCACCCAAAATTAACAAGACCTTGGTGAACATAGGAGCTGTCTGACAGTGGAACAGGCTGCCATTCTGTTTTAAAAGACGGCATGTGGCCGACTCTCCTTCATTGCTGTTTTTAAACAGGTTGGATGGGAGTTGGTCTTCTGTCAAGGGTGCATTAGCTGTGGTTTTCTTGCATCACCACTCAAAAGGGATTAATCCACTCAAAAGCAAGTACGGTATATTCCTCGACCAAAACTCCAACTGGTTGACAGCTAACATTTTCAGCTTTTCTGGGCTTCATTCCTATTACACAATCAGGAGTAAAACCAAAATAACTCAAATGGATAGGTTGCAGTACATAGGTAAATTTGATTATGCTAAAGTAATTCACATAATAAGCCCATTTGAATCAATGGAACTTATGGTACATGTACTTATTGTGTTACTGACTACTTACATTAAGTGAATGGATTCATCTCTTACCTTATTTTTAAAGTTTTTTTAAAGTGTATTTTTAAAGAGTTAAAATGTTTGAACATCATTCTCTCTGTCATAGATGGTTTAATATATTTTAAAAATGTCTCTTAAAACAGGCACACATAAAATTTCCCGAACACTCCCCACCCACTAAAAAATCCCCCAACACTCCCCACCTACTAAAAGTCCCCACTAAAAATACAAGCATCTACACTGCAGGCCAAGTAACACAGTCCAACTAACTATTCACTACTGGTGGTCTTTAAGCTCATTATTAAGTGCAATTATAGCTCTGGGATAAAAACTATTCAGAAAACGTGTGGTCCGAGTCTTAATTGTTCTATATCTTCTGCCAGACGGCAAGAGTTCAAAAAAGTTATAAGCAGGATGGGAAGAGTCTCTCAGGATGCTGTGTGACTTCCTCAGACAGCGGGATATGAAGATGTCATCCAGGGTTGGTAGCTGGAGCCCGATGATATTCTGGGCAATTTTAATGGTTCTCTGTAGAGCTTTTTTGTCCGCTACAGAGCTACTCCCAAACCATGCCATAGGTTAGGACACTCTCAATGGTGCTACGGTAGTATGACAGAAGTAAACACTGAGATAAATTTAACTTGCCGAGCATTCTCAGGAAATACAGCCTCTTCTGTGCCTTCTTCACTAGCATGTTG